TATGCCACATGCGACATGGTATTTTACTATTTTAATAATGACTAGTAGTAATCATTTAAATAAAGATCAATATGAATTTATATTAAAATCTGGTATTCAATCGATATTATTTAATTCAATACAAAAATTTTATTTTCAATATTATTTAAATCAAGGACATGCACCAATAACAATTAATGAATTAAATCAAATAAGAACTAAATTAAAATCTCAACATATAGATAAAAAGAAATTAGCCTATGAAGAACTAAAACGTATACTTGATAGACCAAAACCAGTATTTGAAAATGAACAAGTAAATTAATTAATTTATTATAAATTTTGTTTTATTTAGTTAGAAAAACACAAAAAAAAACATCATTCAAAAATAATTGTTTAACTCTATTTTCTAGCAAGTATTAAGTGGAATCCGGTTTTTTCAATTAACTAGATTTTACAAGTTTTATTAAAAATCTAGAAGAATTAAATTTTTACACTTTAAAAATTCTCATTCGTTTAGTTCAGAAAGGGTATTCTCAAATAATTCACAATCTATCAATCCTTACGATTTAATTTCAATACATATTAGAACGAAAAGAATAATTAAAAGATCTTAAAATTATTATCAAGATTCTACTTGTATATCAGAGATGTCCACAGAGCACGGTACGGTAGGACAGGACAGAATGAAACATTCATACTCTGCAAATTTGAATATTTACTTTCTGAATTTTCATTTTAAAAAGAGTTCTTTTTTGTCTTTGCGCGTCAAAGACCACAAATGACTTACAGAAGGTGGTAGCATTCGTTTAGTTTTATTTATTCCTGCAACAATAACTAACGTAAAAAGAAAGTTTTCTACTGAAGATTGGGTCCTAAATGAAAGAGGAGTTCATCTTCAACCGAATAAATTTTAAAAAAGTTTCTATAAAAATAAATCATATATTTTGTGGAACTCACGTATATTTTAGAAGAAAATAGTGAATGTAAGTCTTAAGTTCAAGTTTTCGCAGTTTCTCTCGTCCCAATTACATACACTTAGTGACTGAAGACAAGATTACAGACGACAGAAATCGCACATAAAAAGCTTTAGATTCTTTACAATACTTCAATACTTTCGTCTTTCCTAGATATTTGAAAAAAAAACTATTTTGCAGTTGAAAAATGATGCATTTGGATAACAAGTTCGAAGGATATATATGAATTCTACATTTCAACCTCAAAGAAGCTTCACTAACAAGCTTCTTTTTTCTAATTGACAGTAACTTTCGTCTATTTATTGTCGTTCTTTTTGTTGGACATTTTTTCAGGTGAACGTCTGCTATAAAAGTTGTGAGTCTAGGTTACCTATATTGTACCATCTACTTTGTCTGACATTTAGAAATATTCATATATTTTGTTAGTTGAACTATAAGTTATTTATATTGTGAAATAGGTTCAAATAAATCAATATTTTATGATATAATACACAAATGTTGCTGCTGGCGAACTAGATTAAAAATCGAAATAGCAGAACATATCGATTTTACGGAGTATCCTGCTCTGCTCTATTCAGACGTTAGGGACATGGCAGAATAGAGTGCAAAATTTCATCCTACGGACATTTTCGTTGTGTATAAAGTTTCAAGTTAAAATTCAACATAATGAATTTTATTGAAAAGAACCATAGAATTGTATTTTATTCTTTTAGTTCAAACCATCAGATGACTTCATTCCAATAATTGATGATCATATTTTAGTTAATTTGATTTCTCTTATTGAAAGAATTTCTTCTGATATAAATACATTTACAAATGAACAACTCAAAGAATTACTTGATAAATTTCGTTGTCAATCAACAATGGTTCGTCCAATACCATATTCTGAACAACAACGTTTATTATCATTTTATTCTCGTCCAATATCATTACATGAATTAGAAACTTATTCTCTATTAACCGAATCAGATTTAAATAATTATCTTCTATTACTTAAAACTAGACCGTTAATGAAAAATGATCAACTATATGATTTTTTGACTAAAACAATTATAAATATATTTGAAGATCGACAAAAATTTTCTAATGAAATATGTCAAGAGTTAAAAAAAATTTTTGATACAAAAGTTTTCGGCAAAATACGTTGTCGTTTGATCAATAAAACTTATAGTAATTATCGTTTAAATAAAAATAATCTTGTAATAATTAATCAAACTATTCTCAATCAATTATTGAATAAGATTCTTTTACAAGATTATCAAGTAAACAAAAAAGAAAATTTTATAATAAAAAAAATTTATATTTTTTTTTATTTTATTTTTTAAAGGCTTTTGTAGAATTTTTTAATTTATTAGAATCTATTTTACAATCTATCAATTTCAACGAATTAACAATTGAATTTGAAATAAATCGTTGTCTTTTAACAACAATAATTCTTATTATAATCAATAATGATTATTCAAATTCATCAGATTTTATTTTATTTCAACAACGTTTAACAACAATGATAATGAAACAAACAAATTTTTTTTCATTACTTCTTACTAAACAACAATATGAACTTATTTCATCATGTCCAATATTAATATTAAATATTGATATATTAATTAATTTAGTAAAAATAAATTTAAATGATAATAATTTTTCTAATTT